CATGTTTATATTGAAAGTTAAAACAAACTAAGAAATCAAAACAAAATTATATAAAATCAGTAGCAACCAAACATGATATTTTGGTAGTACATGGATTGTGCAAAAGCACATCAAGAAAATCAATGTATCTTCCCCAAAGCACATCTTAATTTGTTATTTTATTTCATTTTTGTATTTTAATAAATTATGTTCATTACTTATAATGTGTTTGATTGTTTTTTTAGTTAAAAGTTATTCTTTTCTTTTTTTAAGTGACATAAACATATATTCATTGTGTTGACAAAAAAACATATGTTCATTGATGTAACCAACTTTTGTGGGTAATCAAATAAATAGGTTAGTTTGTTGCATAACCAAAAGAAAATATATCCAAAAAATTAATTAAAACCCCTAGAACAAGTGGCTCGGATTTTGTTTGGTTATGCAACAAAGACTCCAATGTGTTTAGTCCTCTCGCCTTAAATCCAAAGAGGCAGAGTTATGTTTCTTCTTCTCGATTAACTAATTTGAGGTGACCCAAGCTATGAGTAAGGCCCTTTTTTCCTTCAATTGAACTAAATTTAAAAACTCTAAAGGAAGAAAAACTATAAATAACGGTTAACCAGCTTGAAACTTAGACGCAATGAAACAAGGAATTCTTTTTCACACTCGGTAAATCAACCATCAATCACTCAGTCTCCACTCTTCTCTTCTCCAAAATCAATCCGATAAATGTAAAAGGGAAATTCGATATGTAACTAAATTTCAAAAGCATCATCATCATCAAACAAATTAACCTATTTATCCGATTACCCACAAAAGTTGGTAACATCAATGAACATGTTTGTCTTGTCAACACAATGAACATATGTATATGTCACTCAAAAAAGAAAATAATAACTTTTAACTAAAAAATTAATCAAACACATTATAAGTAATGAACATAATCTACAAAATACAAAAGGTTTTTGGTTAGTTTTTCATTTATAATATTTGTTGGTTATGCAACAGATTTTCCTTTAATTTATTTAATTAATGTTACATGACAAAAAAAAAAAACATGTTAGAATAATGAGAAATTTTGAAAAATGATACTATGATTATGCAAAGTTCTTGATTTAGACTCTTTAGGTTGAAAATTAGGTGGTTAGGAGTTTAGTTCACCGTTTGTGGTTCTTGGTTCTAGCTAATCATCTTATTTGGGCTACTCCTTTGCGGTTTCCCCTGCCTTGTCGTCAGATGGTGAGCTTTGTTGCACCGCGTCTACTGCTCTTTCCGCGCTATCCGGCGATTACGAGTAGTTCTTTCTTACTCTTGTTTAGTTGTAATTATGAATTCTAGACAATTGTACTGTTTTAGATTATGCTCCTCGGTAAACTTTCGGGCTATGCTCCCGGTGTATCCGACTTTGTAATTCTACCTTGGTTTGTATGATATTATCCAGTGACAAAACAAAAAAAATACTATGATTATGCTTAGTTTTAAAAACAATATACATAACTTAGCGAACTTCCAATTAGCTGATGACACAGAACTGTCACACAGTTTGGATTTCAAGGCCACATTGTCAAATACACGGAATTGACTGCGACAAGTGTTGGGATTGCAGTGTTTATGGGTCTAATCCTATGGCTGTCAAAAGATTCACAACATCCACTGATTAGAGATGTTTATCTTCAAAGAAGTACGTAATTATCGGTCCTTTGATATCAAATTAGCATCAAATCATTTGTGATCGGTGGTAGCCGTGAAAACGAGCAGAGATTTGGCCAAAGAGGATTAGATTGTGCTAGTATTGTTATATGAATGATCCATCTCCTTTGGCTTTAGATCTCTGTTAGGCTGCTTCTATCTTCTATTGGTTAAATTTTCTTCTTCTCATATATATATGATCCATATGTGATTTGTGTTTTGCATATATGCCACACAAGAGCGGCCAGAACCAAACAAATAAAACAAAACTTGTATATTCTCATGGTTTATGCGAACACATTTCTCTCGACTTCTTGTCCTGAAGATGGCGTCCTGTGATCCGACCCAATCTGCAAGATTGCTCCATCATTAGTCTCTGAATCGAATCTTGTTCCCACGGCACAATCCCAAAGTCATCGTTGAACCCTTCCATGCCTTGTATCAAAAACTGCCACACCAGTGTTCCTGCACCAGACCTCCTCCGCTTTGCTGATTTGTATACAACATCGAATATGGTTCTGTAGAACCGGTCCCGCTGCGACGGCTCATAATCTTTGTTCAGATTCGAGAGCCCAAACTCGGTGAACAGAACAGGCTTCTTCAGTTCCTTGTCCCCGTCTTCAATGTGAGATAGCATCCATTTCACCACAAACTTTAGCTTCTCTTCAAACCCCTGATCGTGAAACCTGCCAAAGTTTCAACCTTTGAGTTCACAAAGATGAAGAACTCCACGCAGCAATCAAACTTGTTCACACACAGAGGCTTACCAGTGATCAGGGTAGATATGAACCGATGCAAAATCGATGTTTGGCGACTCAGAGTTTCGAACAAAATCTGATCCAAGCTCAGAGGCCCACCGTTCTGGGTTAACTGTCAGCCGTTTTGGGCTCTTGGGACCATAGAACCCTTCCAATCCTACGGTTAGAAGATGCTTGTTGTCAATCGATTTAATGAATGCAGTCATTTCGTTAATCCAGTCCTTTGAATTCACAAACCAGAAAAAGAAACCACATGAGTAACATTTACTTATTTCTCAACACAACACCAATGATTCAATAGTGGACAAGAAACCATCAAACTGAAGAAGAACTCACTTGGAGTGTATCTCCAGAGATATCAGACAAGCAGCGAGGCTCGTTTATCAGTTCCCATGCAAAAATTGTAGGGTCGTTTCTGTACTCGATCCCAGTTATCGAGTTTTTGCGGGTGAGCAGCACCTGGCAAATGGGAAATGAGAGTAATTCCAAGTTTAACATCACCAAAATATATATAACAATGCAAGATTACAGTCTATGTGTGAAGAAAAGCTATTGCACGGAGAACTTAGTTCCAAGTCTATGGGTCAAGAACCAAGAATCTTGATCTAGGCTAACACATCCACGTACACATGAAGAAGAGACAAGGATTGAAAACAATACCGTGAGATAATTCTTGAAGTATCTGCGGATAGATGGGTCAAAGAAGAAGGAATCATTGGAGGAACTGAGACCAACACCTTCTTGCCATGCCCAATTGACGTACTGAGTCTTCCCTCCATACGCTTGTAAGTTATTCACTAAGCTAAGAAGCAACCTAACACCATGTGTTTTTGCCTCTGCGATTACATGATCCAAGGCCTAACCACATTATATATTAACTTCATTAAGAGAGAGAAGAGACAAGAACACCAAAGCTTCGGACAAGGGAATGTAAATACGATGACAAATGCAGACAGAAGTATGTAATTGCAAATTGTTCCGAGTATAAGCTATAATAAACATTGAATCTGATCATCAGAAGAAAACACAAACGCAGAGAGATATAAATGGATGCAGCATTGCGCTCTTTTTCTATTTCTTCACTGGCATTCTGATTAAGATAAGCTCAACAAAGACTAATGTCTGCATTGCAAGAAGACTACAACTAACTTTTTGTTTTAAAGTGTGGAACTATCTAAATAACTAAGAAGCTTCCAAGTAATCTTTAAAACTAATCAGAGCCAAAAGACAAAGAGCAAAGTGTAGACTGAAAGCAAGGAATCTGAGAGATACCTTGAAGACTCGTTCATCGAATCTACCAGGAGAGATCTGGAGAGCATTGTAACCTCCATCATTGAAAGCCCAAGTTCTACAAACAGTGAGACCCATTTGAGCTCCAGCTTCAAGCATAGCACCGACACGGTGTCTGCTGTGATCATTCACGGCATGGTCCATGAACCAATACGAGTTCCAACCATTCACATACAGAGCCTTACCATCAACCACGAACTGTGTCCCGTTCCGTTTCACGAACCCTAACTCGGCTTCTCCTTGGTAACCGAACCACAAATCTCCGAACGAGAGATAGATAAAAGCAACACATGTAAGGAAACCTAAGATTGGTATCAATGGCCCGTTCCCTGTAGGAGCCATGCTTCTTCTTCCTCCTGCAATTAGCTTCAGATGTTTCAGAATCGCTTGTAATGTCGCCAGTTTTCTTCCTGATCAATTTGATCCAAATCTCGCCCCGGTGAATGGGAATCAAACAAATTAGCCCCTTTGAGAGAAATGCAAGCTCCTTTGGTGAAGAAAAATTCAAACTTTTATGAAAGTGTCCACGTTTCGGAGAATGTGAGAAGAAAATCTCAGCTTTTTTAATGGAAACCCAAACCCAGATCAAATATTAATTTTGTATTCTAAAACAAACAAACAAATCATTCAGAATTAAAAACTCCAGCTTTACCAAAAACTGCGAATTTGATGAATGCCCAAATAACAGAGATA